CTTGGTTAGCCACCTCATTCGGCATGCTATCCGCATGACACTCGATGAACGTTCTCATGCTGGCAAGCATGGCGACCGTTTTATTGGTTGGCCTATATTTTTCCGTCAGGCCATGCTCGAAACGCACGTAGCCATTGTTGAAACGTTTTTTGTAGCTGTAAAATGTATTACGCGAGACACCAAGTACATTGCAGTACGCCCTGATGCACATTGAATGTTCCAACTCCACAGGGCGGACACGTTTCTGTCCACTCTCATTTACTGTGAAATCCTTAATACTTTTCATCCACCACTCAGCTCGCTCTCCCGGACTCTTACTGTACAGTCCTTGTCTAACCTTTCGCACTTCCTCAGGCAACACGTCGTAACAACATTGAGCCTGGCAACATGCCATGCCGCGCACCATGAGCAGTCTTCTTTCGGACAGGATGTTTCTCGCTCTTTTGTATTGTTCTTTCCTCCTAGCGTTCCTATTAGCCATGCTATACCTTCGTCTTTCGCCTGGCAGAGGTGCGGGCAAAATCTGCAGTATCGCCCTTCTCTCTGCATCACCCCTGCCGGACGATTCCGACCCAAACTCGCTCTGACTTGGAATCACATCATCACTTCGCATATGCGTTGGACTCGCCCGTGCTGTGGAAAGCTCCTCCGAAGAATAGTCGGTGGCAACCAAGTTCGTAGTGCTGGAGCTAGCGCGAAGCAAAGGTCCACTGAAATAGGACCGTTGTCCTGACGAGTAATCAGTGGCCACCAACCGCTCACTCTCGTCATCAGACATCAGACGATGCGTAAGAAACACCCATTGGCACGCAACTGCTGTGCGCCGAAGCTGTGGGGTGCACCTCGCCAGGAATGTGGAACTCTATCCGGGAGGTAGACGGTTCTTCGGCCGCGGACGTTGTTGCCAATTCTGTGGGCAGTTGGATGCAACCTCCAAAGCTCTCACGAAAAGCGAGATTTTGTTTTCTGGGGAAATCCGCAATTGACTGTTGGAACGGCTAACAATCCGAAGAGGTCGTCGCGGCCAACTCCAGGTGTTGTAGCTGGCAATGCAAGTCGACGGCTTGTTCAGTTTCCATAGCCCGTTTCATGCGGCCGTTCGCCGAGCCTTCTTCGGCGCCGTCATGCAACCGTCAGTGCAACGGATGCGATTCCCGTCAGTGCAATGGATTATTGTCTCTTGTGCGGGTCGAACGGGTCGTTCGAATTCGTGTCCACACCCTACAAAACAACGGAGCAAACTGTAAGCACGGTCAGATTTATGCGTTAAGGGCACAAAGTTCGTCGGGATCCGAATTTGGCGGGTGCAGGAGTAGCAAGGAACCTGTTTTCACGTGGCTTGTGTCAGTGGAAGGTAGCACCAGTGGGTGCACACAAGGAACGCTATGTTTGGGCGAACAGAAGGAAGGCTGTGTTGTCGGTGGACGATAGCACGTGCAGAACAAAGGATAGTGGTGGATGCACCACCACATAATTCGGCGTAGCGCGACCTCAAACAGACCCCTATAAACACCGATTCTCACCATCGTCTAAGCGAGCTCGTGCGGTGCTCCGTTCGCTGGCACTAGTGCAATAGCGACCCCCGATTCGCGCGCCGGGAACGTCGACGTGCGACAGTGCGAATCAGACAGCACGCAGAAACACAAGCATGTCTGCGTCAAGACTCCGCACACCGCGACGGTCAAAACCCTTGGGGGTTAGAAAAGATCGTGGGTGCGAAAAATTGCTCGCCTTCTGAAATGCCCTTGAAGGGGTTTATGGGGGTTGCCGACGGTGACAACGGTCGTGTCCCTTACTTTCGGCAACCCCCATGAACCCCTTCAAGGGCATTTCAGAGGGCGAGCAATTTCTCGCACTTGCAGTCCTCTCGCAATCAACTCACATTTGAAGCTCCAGGCGCCATGCGAAGGACGGATATATTTGCGCCGATCCTCAAAGTCCGCCAGGATCCGAACTTGGCGGATTTGCCTGCAGCGAGTAGGAGGTTTTCGTGCGGCTGCAGGTATTGGAACGGGTGGATGGCGTTTGCACAAAAGCAGGCGATGCTCGGCCGCACCGCATTTCGGGGCGGCGATGAACGAAGATCCACGGCACATCGGAAATGCACCCGACCAGTGACACCGTCGTCAACCCCAATTAATCCCTTTCAGGGCAACTCACAAGGCGAGCACTTTTCCGCACTACCAGGCCGCCGGCATTGAAGACGGACTGGGCAGTCCAAGCTGTTGAAAATAACGGTCAGATTCACGGGGAGCCTCTAAGTTCGCCGAGATCCGAATTTGGCGGGTACAGGAGTAGCAAGGAACCTGTTTTCGCGCGGCTTGTGTCAGTGGAAGGTAGCTCCAGTGGGTGCACACAAGGAACGCTATGTTTGGGCGAACAGAAGGAACGCTCTATTGTCGGTGAACGATAACACGCGCAGAACAAAGGGTAGTGGTGGATGCACCACCACACAATTCGGCGCAGCGCGGCCCCAAACAGACCCCTATAAACACCGATTCTCACCATCGTCTAAGCGAGCTCGTGCGGTGTTCCATTCGCTAGCACTAGTGCAATAGCTATCGAACACGGACATCTCCACTGCGCAGACAAGAAAAATGCAGAAAAGGATGAAAGAACCCCCCTTAAACCCTTCCAAACAATGATTCGGCCAGTCGAGAAGGCGACCCCCGATTCGGCCAGTCCTGGCATTTGTCGTGCGGAATGCGATATCGCATCCCTCACGACCAGCGCCAGGAGCGTGCGCTCAACATCCATGGCCTCTATGGTGGATCATGTGCACGTCGTGTGCGCGGGATGGAGACGACAGCAACTCTCCCGGGATTGACGCCATAGTCTCTTCGGGGAGGGAGGCTCAAGTGTTGCGGCGAGAACACGAATACGGAACGACGACGCCCTCCTCTTTATGAATACCTTACCTCTCACTGCACGCCATGTGGATGACGGACATCCTTCCCACCGTGGCCACCGCGCGACGCTTAGTACCAACAACGGTCGCGCGCAGCCCATGCGTCTCCTTTGTGATAACCAACCTCTAATCTCTTTGTTGAGAACAGCAAACGAGCGAGGGAAGTGTTTCGAAGGGGTTTCGTGTTCCGCTGGGAATAGGCGATTTCGTGTTTGCCTCGACCGCGCGGGAGTGGTTTGCAATGCCCAGCTTGTGATCAACGACAGTTTTTCTTCAATGCCAAGCCAAACAAGAGTCGTGGGGGCGGTCGCGTGGAACGAATGAGAGAGAACCAGAATGGGACACGCAAACTGTGTGCCCCGATGTCCCCGTCATCCGTTCCCGCCGTCCCAGCCACTTGCGACACGTGGCACGACATTAGGACAATGATGACGACGGTGATGAACACGATGATAGTGACGATTACGGTGGTGATGTTGATCTGGGCGACGATGTCGCTGACGATGATGACGATGTTGATGACGATGATGATGTCGATGATGATGTTCGTGATGATGATGATTGTGATGACGACGATGATGATGATGACTATGATGACGACGATGATGACGATGTTGATGATGGCGATGACAACGAAGAGGACGATGGCGGTGATTTCGATGACGGCGACGATGTCGCTGATGATGATGATGTTGTTGATGACGTTGATGATGTTGATGATGATGTCGATGATGATGACGCTGTTGATGACGTTGACGAGGTTGATGATGACGTTGTTGATGATGATGATGATGTTGATGAAGATGATGATGATCACGATGACAATGATGGTGATGATGATGATGATGATGAAGATGATGACGCTGATGGTGGTGGCGACGATGATGGTGATGATGGGGGCGATGATGATGATGATGATGGCAAGCAAGAATCACGGGGCCGCTCGCGACTTGAAACAGGTGGCGCGACGCGGCCGCTCCCATGGGCCGGCAAACATGCCTGACACGAGGGTAGGCAGAACAACACTTTACCTTGAAGAGGGCATAACGCACACGATGGAGCTGCTCTTTGACGGCTCACAAGTCTTCGAGGAGGCGCAGTTCTTCGACGACGGTGAAGCGCACACGATGGCGCAACTGTTCGACAAGGGCTCAGCGCAAACGGCGTTGGCCACTTGCTGACCCAGGACGCAGAGACGAGATGTCGAAGCGGAGACAACCGAACCACAGATGACAGTTGTCGACGAGAGGAAGCCCCTGTGCCCACACCTGCCGCCGCCTGGCGCAACAGCGGACCAGAAAAGGCGATGGAGGATGTCGCTGACGGGACGCCG